TGTACCTTGATGGGCATATTTTTCTTTAGATTTGGAACTTTTTCTTCTGTGATTTTGTTGAAAGTATTTTCTGGGCCTTTGAGCTGGGAATCTTGTTCTTTTTCTATTCCTATTATTCTTAGGTTTGGTTTTTTCACAATGTCCCAGATTTCCTGGATGTTTTTGTGTTAGGAACTTTTTAAATTTAACATTTAACATTTTCTTTGATTAATGTATCAGTTTTTTCTATTGTATCTTCAATGCCTGAGATTTTCTCTTCCATCTCTTGTATTCTGTTGGTGATGCTTGACTCTGTAGTTCCTGTTCACTTACCCAGATTTTCCACTTCCAGAGTTCTCTCAGTTTGTGTTGTCTTTATTACTTCTATTTCCATTTTCAGGTCTTGAACTGTTTTATTCATTTATTTCACCTGTTTTGGGCAGGTTTTCCTGAATTTCTTTAAGAGATTTTTCATTTCCTCTTTAAGGGTCTCTATCATCTTCATAAGATTGGATTCAAGGTCTTCTTCTCGTGCTTCAGCTGTGTTGGAATATCCAGGACTTGCTGTGGTAGGACAGCTGGGCTCTGGTGATGCCACACTGTCCTGGCTGTTGTTGATTGTGTTCTTACACTGACCTCTGGTCATCTGGGTTTGGGCTTGTTTAGGTGCTGATTTCTGATTTTATCTTAATAGATGGATTTTTCCCCTTTGGTTTCTGTTCCCTCTCTGGTCTTCTGTCCTGAGTGGCCTGGGGATCTGGTAACCAGCAAGTTTTCAGGTCTAGGAGGGTGTCTTCACTGAGGTCTTTGTGTCCTGTGTGACCTCTGGGGTTTTGGGGGCCATTGTTGCCTCTGGGGTTCCAAGTACCTATGTGACCTCTGGGTACCTGCTTGGCCCCTGGGGTTCCTTGTATGGAGTGGCCTCCAGTAAAGCAGGAAGGAAGGAAGGAAGGAAGGAAGGAAGGAAGGAAGGAAGGAAGGAAGGAAGGAAGGAAGGAAGGAAGAGCTTGGGAGATGGCTCAGCTAGTAGAGGGGCTCGCTCCACAAGCATGAGGAACTGAGTTCAGATCCCAGCGTCACATAAAAAGCCAGGCAAGGCTGCTCACCCTGCAACCCCGGCCCTGCAGCTCACTGGCCACGAAGTTTAGCTAGAAAAAAGCGGTAAGCTCTAGGGTAGGGCAGAGAGTGACAGAGCAGGACTCCCACCATCCACCTCTGGCCTCCAGATGTACATGCATGGGTGGCAGAACTCACACATATCACACATGTGCACACACGAGCGAGCGAGCGTGGGCACACACACACGCACACACACATTTAAAAAAAAGAACCAGGAGTCAAATAGAAATTTTCAGTTTACAGTTAAGGTAGTAATAATTCATGGGTGACCAAAATACTGCATGTTTTTAGTAGATCAATCTAGGATATGAAGAAATATGATATGTCCCGGTTAGTTTTATGTCAAGTTGACACAAGCTTGAGTCATCAGAGAGGAGGGAACTTCAATTGAGAAAATGTCTCTATAAAAGATCAAGCTTATGCAAGCCTATAGGACATTTTCTTAATTGATGGTGGTCCTGGGTTCTATAAGAAAGCAGACTGAGCAAGTCATGGGAGCAAGCCAGTAAGCAGCTTTCCTCCATGGCCTCTGCATCAGCTCCTGCCTCCAGCTTCCTGTCCTGTGTGAGTTCCTGTCTTGACTTCCTTTGGATGATGAACAGTGATATGGAAGTAGAAGCCAAATGAACCCTTTCCTACTCAAGTTGTTGGGGTGCACCGTATAGCATGGGTCAGTTGAAGAAAGAAGGCACTCTAAAATGAAACTTTAAGGCCTATGTAACAGCAGGATGGTCCAGCCTTTGTGATGGACTGAACCCCAAACCTCTGTAGAAAGGCATATGTATTGAAAGTTACACAAAGTATTTTCTCATACCAAGGTCCCTAATCTTAATTTACATGTCTTACTGAAGGAGAGCATCACATGCCTCTTCATTATGTATTATGTGCAATACATAATACAAGAGACTCGGGTGTGCCTGAAGCATCTTGTGACCAACGTCATGGGATGACTGCAAAGCCCCTTCAAAAAAAAAAAAAAAAAAAAAAAAAAAAAAAAAAAAAATCACTGTTTTCCACAAGGATTCTTCAAAAAAACCATACTTCACAAAAATGTCTACCCCAGATACGGTGACTCTGCTAATTCCTACAACACCGAGTAGCATTGGTCATGGCATTTCATCACAGCCATAGAAACCCTAACAAGGACAAGAAGCTAGGGTTAGAGGGATGGCTCCATGATTAAGAGTACTTGTTGCTCTTCCAGTGGACCCAGCCCCCACACCAGGCAGCTCACGACTGCCTGAACATCCCCAGAGGATCAGATGCCTTCTTCTGGCCTCCACAGGCATCCACACTTGAGGCAGACACAGACACAAAATGTAATTAAAAGGTACTAGGCCATTGGTGCTGTGTAATGAAACTTGCTGTAGCAAAAACATTTAAGATCTGAATAAGCAATTGTCTAAAGAGTGATAAAACTGGAAATGAATATTGTCAGCTCTCAAGGAAACTCCACTCCCCCAAATTCTGGTGGTTAGACAAAAGCCAGCACTCCTAAAGAACTTGTGAAGCCTGTTCCCCTCTACCAAAGGGCAGAAGGGACAAATATCTCTCTATGGTGCCCACATGCTGGCCTCCAGGCTCCTTCAGTATCACAGTCCTAGCTCCTCCTGCCTCCTCCCCGCCATGAACTTCTCCGTCACAGGAACTTCTCCGGCCCGGCTACTCTTTTCTCCGGATAACCTGCTATTTCGGCTATCCTCCGTCTCTTTTGCCCCTCTCTTCTGTCTTCCTCTCTTAGTCCTCTTTGTCTTTATCTGTCTCTCCTCCCCTCTCCTGGCCAGGCCCAGTCTGCTGTCCTCAGTCTACTACTTTCTCTCCCTGCCCTCAATTCTTCCAGATGCTTCTGGCTGTTCTCGCCCTCATATCTACAATAACCTTCCCCTCAGCCATACCTTGGAGAGGTCATGTCCTCAGTTTATACAAAATGGTGATGTTGAATTCTGCTAGAGAAAAAATTGGTGGAGGTTGGAAACAGGTAGATATCAATGATTACTGATAAATCATTTTTATATGCTAAGCACTATGTATCATAATGGGTCTTTATTTTTTTAATGATGGCTTTTGATTTTACAATACAAAATATTTCACCAACGTAGGCAAGATCTTTAGCTAACATAATCAGCAGAGATAAAACTAAAACCTGGTCTTTCCGATGCTGGAAAACCCCCCTCTTTCTGCAATGACACCTTTTAGGTAGGGAGCCTAGAATGATTTTTAGGCTTGTCTTCTGAGAGAACTTACCTGCTGCTATGGTGTTCAATTGTGTGAAACTATCTTGACCATGAGCTCAACAAGGGAGGAGTTTATTTTTCTCCTGTAATGAGAAACCTGAGCCTAGCGGTCAGGGTGGGTGAAGCCCCTTTTTCTGAGTGTTGCTCTTAGTCTAAGATTGCTGTTCCACCCCTGCTCACAGCAGGAAGGAAGGCGGAGGAGAGAAAAGGAGGTTTTCCTCAAGAAAGCAAGCCTTCCCCGGACTTTCTTCTGCATCTCCAGGGCCAGAACCACGTGGACTGTGCTCCCCCAGCCATGGCATCAGCTGCACTTGAGCTTGGTACATCGCCTCCCTGAAGGAGAGTGGGACTCTCCAAGAAGTTGAGGTGGGGAATTATTGAGACAGTGTCTGTCTCTCATAGACCTCTGACAATTCAGAGGTGAGAAGGTTGGGACAGAAGCCTCAGATCTAGGATTCTAGGAGCTCGGGAACCTATCTTAGTTCATTTCTCTGTCCTGTGACAAAATAATCAGGTAGGGCTTATCTGACTCAGCGCATCACGGCGTAGAAAGAGGTGGCAGGAGCGGGGTCAGTGTAGTCAGGAAACAGAGATAAAAGCTCATCTTCTTTTCCCCCTTCCATTCAGTCTAAGACCCCAGTCCACATGGATGGTGTCACCTACGTTCAAGGTGGGTCTTCCCACCTCTGTGAAGCTTCTCAGAAAAATGTCCTCCCAGACACACTCAAGGGTGTGTTTCCATGGTGACTCTACATCCAATCAAGTTGCCAAAAAAGGCTAACCATCGGATGAATTTTGTGAGGCAGAAGAGGCCAGAGGAGAGAACCTGGGAAGCAATGGGTCTGTCACAATCTCACCACCAGCTCCCCAAACAGGATCCTGCTCTGGGGAGGAGTCCAGTATGTAGTCACTCTGACACTGCTAGATGGGAAAAGTCTCAGGACAGTGTTGATAAGAAATTTGGTAATGGGGGAGAAAGTGAGCATGTGGGGATACTTGGGAATGCTAGGAACATTTGAAGACCAGTTCTGCCTCCTGGATCATTTCATCACTATGAACGTGTAGGCTGGCTCCTCCGAGCTACTTCTCCCAGCCCTGATGCTAGCAAGGCACCTCTCCTTCCGAATCATACTGCCGGATATGTTCAGCCTAGCACGTAAGGTTGGCGTACACCTAGAGAGAAGTATGACTGGCCTCTTTAAAGTACACACTCCGCAGATGGTGACTGTTGTCTTTCTTAGGTCTATGCTCTGGCTGCACACCTCCTGCCCTCCCTTCCTCTCTGCAAAGGGTTCCCAGCCATTTCTGATGCTCTACCTTCTCTCTGAAGGGAGTGCGGGGGGTTGGGGGGGGGACAACACGGGAGGGACACACGCCCCTCTGGGCTGAAGCATTCCACAGCCTCACTTGATTTCATCCATCGCTCCTTTTTCCAGGATGTCTCCTCTGAGCTGGGAGGCAGGCACACCCAGTTCCCCTTACAGCCCACATGTAACACCCGAGGGGCCTTTGCTACCCTGTCAGTCCATTCCTGAGTTCCTGGCAAGGTCAGTTCAGCCCAACTGGGAGGCGGAAAGGCGTAGACTACAACCCGGAACATGGATCTGCTTGGAGAGGAGTGGGAGAAAAATCGTGTCATATTTTGAATAACTAACAAGTCATAGGTTCTCAACAAATATTTACTGAATTAACACTGGCCAGCAAAGAAAAAAACACAAGATATGTTCTGCAGATTTGGTTTTTAAAAATGAGTATTTATAGCGCACTAAGGCAATTGGTAAGTGGCGCATGCGTCTCAAGTCATGTCGCCTTGGGAATATCCTCATCTGCAAACAGTTGCCAAGGGTAAACTTGAGAAACTGGCCGCAGAGCAAGAGGTGGTGTTAGGAGGACCTCAGGCTGGGCTTGGGTCGTCAAGATCTGGCAGCAGGAAGGGGTCTCCTTCACCCCAAACCCTGCAGCCTTCTGCCAACTCTTTTCCAGCCGTCCCGGGGTGGCAGCCTTGGCCGCCTCTGGTCGCCTCGCAGGCAGGGGGCGTCCTACGCACTGTCAAGGAGTGCCTGCTTTTTCCAGTATGAGCCAGACGGCGACCTCGGTGGACTCAGGCAGTTTACCCCGAGCGCTGCGGGCCTGGCTGGGCTGAAAGAACAGAGGAGCAGCCAGATCACTCCGGCAATAACTTAGGACAGGAAGGGGTGGGATGGGCGGGGCGAGCGGAGGGGAGAACGCGCGGCTCCGCCCCTTGAGGCTCACCTGGGGCGTGTGGAGCGGAGGTGGGCGGGGCGAGCGACGCGCGGCTCCGCCTCTTGGGGCTCACCTGGGGCGTGTGGAGCGGAGGTGGGCGGGGCGAGCGACGCGCGGCTCCGCCCCTTGGGACTCACCTAGGGCGAGTGGAGCGGAGGTGGGCGGGGCGAGCGACGCGCGGCCCCGCCTCTTGGGGCTCACCTGGGGCGGGGCGAGCGGAGGTGGGCGGGACGGGCGGAGGTGTGGCCCCGCCCCTCGAGCAGTCACGCGGGTGGCGGCTGGAAGCTACCGGCGCTCCGCCGGTGCTGAGGAGTGCGAGCTGAGGTGAGCGCGCGACTCCCGGGGGCCGCTGACGGTTGCGTTGCGCGGAGGCGTCTCTTCCTGGGACTCGGGGTGACGCCGCCAGCGGTGGGCTTCAGCAGAGCGGACGCGGGGCAGGGTCCCACGGGAGCCCGGCGCCCACGCCGCGCTTCCCAGCCCTCCGCAGCAGGCCGGGGTGAGGTGGGTGTGCCTCGTTCCTCGCTGGCTTTCCGACCCGAGCCCGGCGCACCCCGGCTCAGCGACTGGACCTTGGGCTCTGCGGGCGGTTGGTACTGGAGCGCGGCGGCTGGCTCGGGGGCCGCCCCGGGGGGCGGGGGGCTGAAGCAGCTTCTCTCCTGCGGAGCTGGGCGACCGCATCACCTGGCTGCAAGAAGGAAGCACGCTCGCTTCGTCCCCCACTGTGCAAGTGATCTGATAAGGGCGTTGTTGCTCAAATCCCGGAGGTAAACAGCACCCATGGTTACAGAGGACACACGAAAGGTGGTTCCGCGTGTGCTTTGCATTTACGAACGTATTATTATGCAGCACACATTGGCAGGGCCCATGGCTAGCGTTTGTTTGTGAATCAAGATCTTAAAGTTACTACTGCGGGTTGACGCCTATGAGAAGTGCAGGGATTGGAAACCTGTAAGATAAAACGTCAGCCTTAAAGGAGCAAAACAGCTTGTGGACTTTGACTGTGTCCTCGTTTTGAAACGTTCGGGAACTTGAGGAAATGTTTTTCGTTTTAGAAAGGGTATTAATTGCATTTGAAAAATTTTAAATGTGTGTGTGTGCCCTGTCTTCCTGTGGAGGTCAGAGGACAAGTTCCAGGAATAATCTCTCCACGTGTGCTCGTGGTTGGAACTCGTGTTCTGGCTTCATGGCAAGAGCCCTGAACTACCTTACTGGCTTCATAAGAAGGAGTTCCAGGACAGGTTCCAAAGTTACACAGAGAAACCCTGCCTCGAAAAACAACAACAACAAATCTGATCTTTTAGGATTACTGACTGAAGCTGAAATATACATTGAGGATTTGCTTCAAAGTTTGGGGGTGCAGGAATACACTGGGCCGTGAGAGGTTAACAGCCAAAACTGGATGTTAGGCATGCAATTCTTCACTGTGTCTGGTTTTGCACATTTTGGGTATTTCCCTTTAAAAGCTGCTACACTGCCTTTCTTTTTCTTTTACTTTCTTTTTCCCCCCAGAAAGTAAGTTCAGCACTATACAGGTGACTCTTGTTTCAAAGCCTCTCATATACCGTTATTTTTCATAAATTGGATGTGAATACTGCCTCATCAGACTGATCCTAAAAGATCCTAGTCTCTGTCTGTCTTCACACTGCACATGAGATGGTACCCATGTTCGTTAGTGGATCAGGTTGATGCAGGTGGGTGCTGGCTCAGCTTTTTCGGAACACACACCATTAGCAAACGTGGGGGTTGGGCTGCCTCCAGTCAGGCGGTTTGTATCAAATGTGTTAGCATTTTCCCCAGTGGCTCAAATCCCTTCTAAGTTATACTCAGCAGAAAAACTGGCCTGGGCTTTGGGTATGGCTCACCAGTAGAGCATTTGCTCCGGGGCCTGGGTTGGGTCTCCAGCACCCTTCAACCCCCTAAAAGAGACCTGAGCAGGAACTGCCTGTGGTCCACCTGGGATCGTACGCACTTCTGGACGTCCTGTATGTCAGTAGTGTTTGTAATGATGAAGACAGCATAACTGAGCGGGGATGGACTTAACCCTTGAAAAGGATCTGTATTTTCCCGTAGTTATTCCACTTTGCTTTCAGGGTCGAGAAACAAACATCCGGCCTGTAACAGGCAGTGTAGCATGCCCATGCCGTTCTTTTCGTTTGTGTGGAGAGGAGATACATTCGTCCACATTCTTGTTCCTCAGATTTGTCCTGTAATTCTTACTGTGCTCTGCCATACTCGATTGCACATTGTGAAAGTGTAGATTCCAAGCGGGAACCGTGGAAGCGCAGCCAAGAAAGAAAGGGGGTGCAGACTCCAGAAGGAGAAACCCACATTTTAAGCAACTTCACTACAACTGAGTTTAAGATTCCTTTGATTTAAAAGGGCACCACATAAAACTCTGCCTGTGACAATTGAGTGCCGAAGTGTTAGACAAACCACCTCAAAGGAAAATACGAGTTTGTTCTTGAGTCAAATATGAAGGGCCGTGCCTAGGAACACAGATTCAGGCGGCCCAAATACATGTTCTACTGTGGAAATGGTTTCATGATGTTTTTATAGGACAAAAAGTCATAAATTAAGCCACTTAAAAATATGCACTGCCAGAAACATCAGGGAGGCCATCACAGAAAAGAGGGGACAGCCCTGCTGTAGGTCTCAGATGCTGGCTGGTAAGTCCTTAGCTCTTGGTGATGGAAGTTAGTGGTGTACTGAGTTAATACCTTCCAAAGGATTTTACCTGAGAGTCACAGGATGTTAGAACTGGGCGTGTTTGTTAAGGGGACTAAAGACAGCACAAACTGGCTTGCCTCTGGAGCTACACAGTATTCCAGCTAAGTTAACTAATCTTTCCTGTAGGCCACAGGTTACCTCACTGTCTCTGCCTTCTGTTAGCTGGCTAAGGAAACTGGGCCCTTAAAGGAGCCCCATTCTTTAAGAAGAAGAGTTTCAGTGGTTTGGGATCTGGTGAGGTAACATTATCACCCATTTCAGGCCTGTCACAGTTCCTTGTCAATAGACCTATTTCTTTAATAGATAGGCTTTTTTTCCATAACACTCCCCCCCTTTTTTTTTTTTTACAAAACTGCTCAACAGTTTATTTAAAATTACCCACAAACTAGAAAGATCAGTTTTCCATCAACAAGTGAATAGATTAACAAATTATGTTTATACAAAGGAAAATCTCGATATACTATATAATACTAAATAATACTATAGCTCTCAAAAGCATTATGCTAAATGAATTAGTTCATACACAAACACCTACATTTAAAAATAATTTTATTCTTTGGGAATTTCATATAGTATATTTTGATCATATTCACCCTTGCCCCACTCCTCACCTTCACCTCCCTACCCACCTATCTTCTAGTCTGCCTGTCTGTCTGTCTTTTCTTTTTCTTTTTCTCTTCTCTTCTCTTCTCTTCTCTTCTCTTCTCCTTTTCTTTTCTTTTCTTTCAGCCCATCGAGTCCAATTTATGCTGCCCAACTACGCTTGGGTGTGTGAGCCCCGCCCTGGAATGTGGCCGATCTACCCGATCTAGGAAAACTGACTCTCTCTCCCAGCAGCTAGCTATCCAACGCTGGTGGCTCTCTGGCTTGTGGTTGGATTTTATGCTCTCCCGTCCGTCCCTCCCCGAAGGCAGGAATTTTTTCTGGCTCGAGCTTGTGCAGTTTGTACCTGCCGTCACAGATGCTGCGAGTTCCTGTGTCACTGTCCTGTCGTATCTTGAAAACCTTGTGTCTTTGATGTTATCCACCCCCTTGGTGCTTGCACTTTCTGCCTCTTCTTCCTTGAAGATCCCTGATCCTTGGGGGAAGGAGTTTGATGTAAACGTCCCATGTATGGCTGAGCACTCCAGTCTCTTATTCGCTGCATGTTGACCAGTTGAGAATCTCTGTGTTAATTACCATCTGTCTCAAGAAACTTCTCTGAAGAGGGTTGAGCGGTGCACTAGTTGATGGATATAGCCATGAGTAATTAGGAGTTGTTTTAATACTGGACCCATTTGGCAGAATAATGGAACTGGGTTCTTCCCCAGGACCTGTCTAGGCATAGGTTCTGGGCCCAGTTAACAGTGCCAGGTATGCACTCCATCTAATGGAGTGGACCTCAGATACAATCAGAAAGTGGCTGTCACTCCGTAACATCTGTGCCACTGTTTTATCAGTGGGCATATCTTGTCATTTGTGATTGTAGTTTTCAGGGTTCACAGTTCAGTAAGCTTGAACCTCTGGGAGTATGAATAGTACTTTCCAGCAGTTTGAAAGCCAGCCAGTTGGGGTGGAGCTTCCAGTTGAGAACCAGCTAGATTCCCCATGTTTTGTGACTCAAGTATGTAGTGTTTTCAGCAATAAGGTCTTACTGTCAATTTCTGAAGAGTAACCAAGAGCATAAGCATTGAATAAGCCTGTACTGTTTAGGGATCTATGGAGCTCCATTGGCCAACACAGAGTAGCCTTTTGTCTCTTTGGAGGTCATCAGACTTAGGATCCTTAAATCCTGTTAAACACACTGTTTTATTTCCCCTGTTGTTTTTCAAGGCAGGGTTTCTCTGTGTAGCCCTGGCTGTCCTGGAACTCACTTGGTAGCCCAGGCTGACCTTGAACTCACAGAGATCCGCCTGCCTCTGCCTCCCAAGTGCTGGGATTAAAGGCGTGCGCCACCACTGCCCAGCAAAACACACTAATTTTTTAAAAGAAAAAGATAACGGCAGTCTGGTAGCCAAGTGAGTGGCACTAGTGTCTCTCTTTAAATTTTCTCCATAGCTTTAGGATGAGATCACAATCCCATTACTGTTCCAACGTAGTTTTCTCCCTAGTCCTCTGAAATTCGGTGTGGAGAGGGACAGTTGTCAGTCTCCTCGGGGACAAGGCCTGATGCATCCCCTCTTCTGACAGATAGTGCTAAAAGCCCTTATATCCCACAGCTGCGACACTTCGTTATCCGGATGGTGTGGCTAAGGGGAGACACATGAGAAAGGCACGCTGTGAGGGGAGCAATGGCAGCTGTGTTTGAACACTGGACTCTCGTGTCTCAGCTCTCCTCTCCTGGGAGTGTGATGGAGGGCGTTTTGATTTTCTTTTCTTTCTTTCTTTTCTTTTTCTTTTATTTAACTACCTTTTTTTTTCCATTTATTTTACATACTGACCACAGTTTCCCCTCATATTTTGATTTTCAACAAAGGGTGACGTTGAGGTCTAAGGGAACTAAAAGTTGGCTTCGGTTATTATTGTCCTTTTTCTTTCTAAAGATCTGTTTTTC